TGTCTGGTGTCTCCATAGCTCTCTTACTCTTTCCATCTCAATTACCTGCTTAGTTCAGAATTTTGTCTTAACTCAGGACTATTGCAGTAGTCTTCCAGGTGGTATTCTTGTCTTTATCAAGTGGTTTTCAAGCTTTTTACCACCAGTACCAATTTTACTATTTTTTCCTATGAATCTCAGGTTCTGAGAGAGTTTTGCCTACCAAGCCAGCTGTTTTGCCATTTTTATTAATCGAAAGCATTTATAGTTGTCAGTAATAAAAAGTAGCATTGATTATTTACCATATACCAGGCACTACTCTGGCCTTTATATACTTTACCTTATTTATATATTTTTCATTTGTATAAATTACCATATTTCTATAAATTGCCTCTCTATAAAGCATATATTCAATTCCCACTTTACGATGAGGAGCCCTAAGCCTAGGGGGCTGTATAAGTGGCACAGTGTGGCACAGCTAGTAAATGGTAGAGGCGAGATGCAGACACGGGAAGTGTGAATGCAGAGCCCCTAGCCTTCTTACCCCACGGCTACACTGATCCCAGTGCAGTGCTGTGAACAAGGTGAGACCATTTGTGTGTCATCACAGGTTTGTAGAATTCCAACTAAAAGCAAAAATGCCAACGGTTGAATTCAGTTGTTCCACTTTATTTGGGATCAATATATTATTTCCAGTAGACTTTCCGGAGAAACAAAATGGAAACTCTTGCTTTCAAGTGTAGAGGATGTGATGTTGGCCTTCACCTTGACGCTTTCTCAAATCCTTTGGCGTTCAAAGATGCCAGTTGGGAATCATATCATCTCTTCTCCCTTCAACCCCCACTGTGTATCACAACCAAATTAGTCCTCCTAAAATTCTGCTTCATAACTGTTACTGAATCCCCTAAAACTTCAGCTCCTTCAGTCTGCCCAGTTGTTGGACACTTCCCTTGTCTGTGACCCAGGACAGTGGTCGTGTTTGTCCATGGTCCCTGAATATGTCCCTCCAGAGCACCCTTGCTAGCCATTCCTTAAAATCTCTCTCTCAAAGCTACTTCAAGTTATCCTTGGTCTTGGGGCTTTCTCTCACAATGCTCAGCTCTCCTTCCTCCAAACCTCATAGAAGTCACACAACAGATGCAGAGTGCAAGGTGCCAGGGTAAGACAGAACTGGTCCTTTTCCTGTGGGGCTTACAGAATAGGGAGAGAAACAGTCGGTAAAAAGGCAAGCAAATAAATTGGCTGGCATGTAATTATAAATTGTGAATTATAACCTTAGACAGGAATTGTTTTCAAGGTTGAAAAAGGTTTTAATTTACTGGGAAAAATATATACGATGTCTAGGTATGAAAATAGGTATGTATTTCAGTGCAGTCGCTCCTCGTTATTTGCAGATTCCACCCTTGTGAATTCACCTACTCGTATTCTTGGCACTTTCACCTTGTACAGTTATCTATCAGTTCCACTGCCCTAGTTACACTTTTGGCTGTGCCATTCAAAGTACCACTGTAATTCCCTTTTTTAAAAGAGCGCCTCCTTGAGGATGCTCTCATGTGCCCTGACAGGTTTTGCTCATGCCTTTTGTCGTTTGTGTCAGTTAGTTTCTTTTATTCTTGCTAAAAACTGACCAGTTTTACCTCTCCTTTGAATCTCTAAGTGATCAGATCTGACTGCTGTCATATAAGTGATAAAATTTGGTATTCAAGCAAGAGAAAGCCAAAAATACGTTGGTCTTTTTTTCCTAGTTAATTATGTTGAAAATTTTCAAAAATACAAAACAATTTGAAACAATTATGTGACACTAACGTGTGTCCCTTCACCCTGACTGACCAGGTCTCAGCATTTGCACATTTGCTCATTCTTTGCTTGTTTGCACACCCTCTTGTTCTCCCCCTCCTCTTTCTCTACCACTGTCACTCTCCCTATATATGTATTTTTTTCCTGAACCGTTTGAAAGTAAGTTGCACACGTGATGACACTTTGCCCCTAAATTTTTCAGCATGTATCTCTTAACACACAAGCACATTGTCCTATATAACTACGGTACCAATATCCATATCCAAGACCGTTATGAATGATGTGATCATATTATTCATTAGTGTAAAGTACAATCCAATACAAATTTCTTCATACTCCTCCCTCTCCCACCCTCTCATCCAGGATCCAATGAAGGATCCACCTATTGGCCATCATGTTCCTTCTTTTGTTCTCCTTAAATCTGACTACCATCATCCCTCTTCACCACCTCACCGCCTATTTTTGTCTTCTGTGACATTTCAGTTTTGAAGAGTCCAAGCCAATTGTCTTGGATAACATCCTGCAATCTGTACTTGTCTCGTTGTCCTCATGCTTAGATTCAGGTGAAACATTTCTGGGAAGAATGTGATATGAGTAATGTTGTGTGTTTCCCATTTTGTCACATTAGGAGGCACATAGTGTGACTTTGCCCCCATTACTGGAGTGATCAGTTTGATCATTTTCTTGAGATCTCCCTTCCTCCTTGTAAGTAGTAAGTGATGTTTGAGACCTAGTGCATATCCTGTTCTGCAGCAACTTTTCGTCCAAGTTTTAGCATTTGGTGATGGCCCTTGCTTGCCTGGAGTGATTATTATATGGGTGGTTTTCAAAAGGTGATTTTCTAACTAGCTGGCATTCTGTTTAAGAAGAATTCTTTCCTCCTCCCTCCCTCTTCTCCCCCTATTTTTTTGAGTATCACTGTAGACTCATGGATTCTTTTTTATTCAGAATATTGTAATCCTTTACCGTATTTGTTCCTTTTGATGCTCACATTATCCCACATTTGCCAGTGAGGGCCCTTTCTACCCAGTTCATCTGTCCCTTTGACTTTGTGTCCCATTAGTCTTTGAGCACTTCCTTGCTTTCTGACACAAGGTGTTTTTTTTCTTTGTTTCTTCCCGTTTATATGATACAAGATATAATTATCTGTTATTTTCTATCCATGCTGTATTTTTTCGGAAGAGGCAACTATTTTAAATAAGAAAACAAAAAATGTATACCCCATTCATAGCTAAAAATAAAATGTAATGCATTTCTCCAGAAACGGATTTCTGTATCAGAGCCCAGCTACTAATAATCCAAATAAACAGGCACTTCCTCCCGGTGAAGAGCAGGCCATTAAGAAATATCTGACTCAGCATTGTTTGTGTGTGAAAAGGCTCTTCCGTGACAGCAGCAAAAGGAAAGTGAATTGTACTTAGAATTCAGAGTTTAAAAACTTTCATTGAACATTGTGTGCCCAGCACCCTGCTAAGTGTTACTATAGATATAAAAGGAGATATTGTTAAAAAGGCGAAAGGAGATAAAACTAGTTGAAAAATAGAGACAAGCCAATGTACTTGACATTGTACCTATTAATGTTACAAGAGGTAATAGGGGAAGAGAAAGCACAAAGCCGAATGTGGGGGATTAGTCTGTTAAGGAGCTCAAGCAAGGTGCACTGAACTGATGGCTTTGTTTCTGTATTTGTGTAGGCCTAGAACAAGACATTGCCTGACATCAGAAGCTCTAAACAGTGACTATCTTTGGGGAGGGGGACCAGAGGGACACGAGAGAGGGAAACTCAAACTTTTCATTCTGTGCCCTTCTGTGCGTATGTTGCTCTTATAATAAAAAGACAAATTTAAGATTTTTCTTATTAAAAATGTTTGAACTTGGGGGCCGGCCCCGTGGCTGAGTGGTTAAGTTCTCACTCTCCGCTTCGGTGGCCCAGGGTTTCCTGGTTTGGATCCTGGGCACGGACATGGCACTGCTCATCAAGGCATGCTGAGGCAATGCCCCACATGCCACAACTGGAAGGACCCACAACTAAGAATATACAACTATGTACCAGAGGGCATTGGGGAGAAAAAGGAAAAATAAAATCTTTAAAATAAAAGACCTCAAGCCTTGGCATGAGTTGCGTCGGGTAGTGAGAGTAGAGTTAGACTTGATCTTCCAGACAGTGGTGGGCTGACTGCTGGAGGGTCATGACAAAAGTAGACGTGCTTTAGGAAAATCAACTTAGCGAAAATAATTTGCATCCATACCAGATGGTTCTTTGCCTTTACTCAGGAAAGAGTAACTATATGGTGTTTTAAATCAGGCTTAATTACTTCTAGTCTATTTAAAATACACTTTGATTTATATTCTTTAAAGTGAAGTCATTGAGATATGTCTTTTGAATAAGTCAAGGTATATCTGCATGTACTTATGAACTCTGAACAATTTGTTTTGATCTGCCATTTCCAAAATTAATACTCCTCAAAACTTGGCTTCTGTGGCTTTACAAAAACAACCGTTTTTAAAAATTACCACAAAGGTTTAAATGCCACTGATCATGTATCTACTTATGGTACCATCTTGAAATGATCACTTCCGCAGGGTAAACAGTGCTTCTTGTCGAATTCTAAGGGTATAGCACTTGGGGACAGGATGCCACAGTAAAACGATCTTCACAGGTTAACCAGTTTTGCACGTACATCCTGGGCTGCTTTCAACTGTGAGTTCCGCTTATTCCTCAGACTCCCCACAGGTGAGAGTGGGGAGGGACCTGCATGCAGGAGGCACTCTGTAAATGTGTGGCCCTTCCCCTTCTCGCCTGTGAGGTCAACTGTTTCCAACTACACAGTTTTTTGGCTTGTTTTGGGTTTGGTTTTGATTTCTTTTGTTTTTTGAGGGGTTTTTTTGTTTGTTTGTTTGGCCTTAACAAATTATACCCAAGGAAAATTATCAAACTCTCAAAATAAATTCAACCTCTATTCACTCAAGTACACATGGTCCCAGTTTTTAATGATTAATTCATCCAAGTGAGCTTTTAGAAATGAATATTTCATTCTTCCTCATTTTAAGTCACTTATTTGTTGCTTTCCTCCTGTGTCCAAAAATAAGCCTTTGAAACTTAGGCCAATATTTTGCTTTACCTGTGCTTAAGTCATTGGTGGTGGTGATGGTGGTAGCATACCTCCCAATATGGGCTATTTATGGAGTGAAAAAACTTGTTTTTTTCCCTTTTACTCTGACAGATATCCTGGAACAAATGGAGACGAATAGGAAATGGCTTAATTACAACAACATTCTCTACTCCACTTCCTACCCCACCCCCAAAATCAAGAGGGCAATAAGACACCTTGAAAAAAAATGAAGAATAGAACTACAGGGTGTATTCCACTTAAAAACGTGGCTGAAAATCACATGACATGCTTTTCAATACAACTATCACTATCTCAGCTCCACGCTGTTTAGATCATGATATACTTATATTGGGTAATTTCTGTGCTCTTTAAATGGAAATTTTAAATATTTAATGTGGTTAAAATTTTTTTTTTCATAGACAGCTTTCAACACCATCACAGATCTCTGTGTCATGCTGCTTACTGTGGTATATTCCTTAAAAATTCTGATGTTTAGTGTATTACCAAAGCTGGGTAAATAGACACAGAACAGAATCTTCTTCCGATAGCTCTTTGACAGCACTTGCTCTTCTAGCACGTGAGAACTTATTTTCTTCCTCTATGAGGATTTTTGTTACTTTTATTCAAACTTGAATTATAATTGTATTGTAATTTTATAATTTATTTAAAAAAACTAAAATTATCCATCTAGCCTTTTGGTTTACTGGTTTTGTTAAACAATCTCAGCTTTTCCCACAATCCTTAGTTTCATTTTAAATGTTCAGTTACTGGATTATAGAAATACAAGGCTCAATCGCAGGAGCATGTTTTCTAGAAATAGAGTAAAAGGAAATAAGCCAGCATTTATTACAAGTTTTGGGGAAGTTTTGTTGTACCATATCTAAAAATGAGTCTCCTGGAATTCTGTAATTGCATCCACTGATTAGTTTAGTGTTGACACACAACTACAGAAAAACAAATTAGGACAACCAGATATTAGCATAACTAATCTACAAAAAGATGGCTAAAGCGACCCTTAAAGACGCTGTTCATTTTTCATGATATTACATTTCTTTGAAAAATAAATACAGACACACTTGTGTCCATGCCAGAGCTATTGCTAAATCACTCTAATGGGTAGGAATAATAAGTGTCAATTTGAATGGGAAGTTAAGACAAACTCATTGAAACTGGAAATGTCTCATATCTTATTTCTCTATTTTCTCACCTAAAAAAAGGTAAAGAAAATGTTTCTAGTTAGATGCTTACAAAGAGTTCAGCAGTCTTGGTTGAAAGGTATACTACCCAATAGTACTGCATTTAAACTAATTTCCAATTTTGAAAGCTTCTGTAGAGCATACAACTTTTCTTTTTTGGTTCTAGTATTTTTTTTTTTAATTCCCTTTAGGTTATTAGTCATATAAATGCTCTGGGACCAGGGAGGAACAGATGAGGAGGCATCAGTTTTAAAATGAAAAACCCAATTATGTATCCCTTTAAAAACATTTTTTGTTAAAACATAAATATCAATATCATGAGTGCAATATCATAAGAGTACAGCTCAGTGTAATTTTACAAACTGAAAACATCGTGTACTCAGAACCCAAATCAATAAAGAGAACATTATCAGCACTCCAGAAGGCCTTCGTATTTCCTTGTCACTATACCCTACCAAGACTAACCACCATGCTGACTTCTCACATAAATTGGTTTTCCTGTTTTTGTACTTTCTATAAATGGAATCTGGCTACTCTTGCTCAATACTGTTTGAGATTTGCCCATATTATTGCATACTAATTTGGATGGTTCGTCCTCAGGGCTGTATATTTTTTCATGGAGTGAATACACCACAAAATTTATTTATTCTTTCTACTACTGCTGGGCATTTGGGTAATTTCCAGTTTGGGGCTATTTTGACTACTGCCAATATGAATATTCCAGTACTTGTCTTTTAATGAGTGATCATTCTAGGAATGGAATTGCTAGATCATAGATTCTGCCAAGTGGTTTTCCAACGTGGATGTACCAGACTGCATTCCCATCAACAATGTATATTCCAGTTGTTCCACATCCTTTCCAATACTTAATGTTTTCTGTCTTTTTTCATTTGAACTATCCTAGTGCATATGGTGGATTTCATTTTAATTTTTGTAATGACTCATGAAGATGAGCACCTTTTTATGTATTTGTGCATGGAGGGATTTTTCATGTTTATAAATCAGAATACCCAATATTATAAAGTTATCAGTGTTCTCCAAATTAGTGTATAAATGTAATGCAATTCCAATCAAATTGCTAGCAATTTTTTTTTCAAAACCTGAGAAGCTCATTAAAAAATTAACATGGAAATGCAAAGGACCAAGGATAGCCAAGGCATCTCTTTCTCTTTTTTTTGGTGAGGAATATTGGCCCTGAGCTAACATCTGTCACCAATCTTCCTGTTTTTTGCTTGAGGAATATTGTCCCTGAGCTAACATCTGTGTCAGTCTTCCTCAATTTTGTATGTGGGACGCCACAACAGCTTGGCTTGATGAGCAGTGTAGGTCCACACCCAGGATCTGAACCTGCAAACTCCAGGCCACCGCAGTAGAGCGCACAAACCTCACTACAGTACCGAGCTGGCCCCCAAGGCATTCTTAAAGAAAAAAAGAAAGCTAGAATACTTCCACTACCGTGTATAATACCTGTTCTAAAGCTCCGGTAATTAGGATAGTGTGGCATTGATACAAGGCTAGGCTGACTAATCAGTGGCATCTGATTTACGGCAAAGGTGACACCACAGTGCAGTGGGAAAGGGCTGGCCTTTTCAGTAAGTCAAGTTCAGCCACACAGATAGCTATTTGGAGGGAAAAGTATCTTGACCTCTTCCTCATTTCATACATAAAAGTGGATTGTAGATTTAAGTGGGAAAGGTAAAAAAATTTAAGTTTTAGAGGAAAACAAAAGAAAACATCTTCATTACCTTGGAGTAGGCAAAGATTTCTTAAAGAGGACACAAAAAGTATGAACCTTAAAAGAAAAAATACACTGGGCCATATTAAAATTATGGTGTCAAGAGCACCATTATTAAGAGAATGGAAAAAGCAGAATGGGAGAAAAATCTGAAAAAAGATTCACATCCAGAATATATAAAGAACTACAAATCAATTTTTTAAAAGAAATCAACTTTTAAAAATGTGTAAAAGTATAAAAATACAAAAATTTGAATACTCTTCACAAAAGGTGATACCGAGATGGCCAGTTAACGTGAAATGATTCCTCCTTTTTTCTTGTCAGTTCTCTTTACTTTTATATTCAAATATTTCTACTACTGACATTCTAAAATAGTATGCTTAATGAAACATCAATAATATGTGTGATTACATTAAAACACATCCTTTAAATGTTACTGTTTTAGGCTCATGATGTTTTGGGGCCATGGACATATAAACATGCAGAATCTAAAGGATGCAACAGCAGGAAACACCAGATGGTTTCACACATACTTATAATCCTAAAAAAATAAGCTTTTTCATTCCCATGAAATGTGAGCAAACAGAGCTCCCCTGCTCACTCGCTCTCTCTCTCGCATGCACACACACATACACACAACACAGAATCCAGTCTTTAAGCTATGGATATCTCATCCCTGACCCAGAGCCACTCAGGCTCACTACTGCTGGTCACTGGTGTCATCTTTTGGGAAATAATGAAGGGGCCCGTAAGTGGCAGGGATGAATGAAGTAAGGAGGCCCTTTGTGTGCTGTGCTTGGAAATTTCTTAAAGCTGAAGATTTAATGGTTTGTTTCTTAGGTAAATGAAACAGGTGTGAAATTGATACAAGACCAAGTTAAAAACACTGCTCTAATGCATGCTGATTAATTAGAATCATCTGAAGAGCTCTAAGAACTTGCTGATACCTGGGGGCCAGGGTGCACCTGGACCCTGGGAGGTTTAAAAGCTCTTGAGTGATTGTGACGTGTAGGCATGGCTGAGACCTGTGCTGGTGCTTGAGTCGGCACAGCAAAGACTGAAATACCTGATTGCCCTAAAGAGCAACCCTGGTGCACTGCATAATTGATGTTTGGGCTGGACTGGGGAGGAGGGGTACTTGTTCTTTTTACAGTTCTTCTCCAGGGATTATGAGTCCTGGGAATGACTAACAGGAAATGGTAAAACTCTGTTCTCAAGAATATGCTCACAGATTTTCCAAAGAGAAAGATGTCGTACCCTCCCTAATTACCCCGTGAGCTCACTGAAGACGGTGCGCGCGCAGTGCTAGCTTGGTGGAGAATGCTATTGCAAACAAGAAAGGCCTCGAGTGTTAGTGCATGCAGCTGTCTTCCTTCCATCCTTCTCAGCCCCACCGCACTGATTAAGAATTCATGATTGTAACTCAAATACATCAATACAATGAGAGCACAAAGCTCAGGCAGCTTCTTCCAATGAGAAACGTGGTGATGAGGCAGTTGTAATTTTTATTTTTTAAATGCCATTGTGAATACAGATATACTGTAATGAAAATACATCACTAACCTTTTTACATAATTCATACCGCCTTTTGTAGCTGCTTTCTTCAGTGGTTAATATCTTATTTGCTTTCCTCTTCAGTAACCAAAAATAATGGATATATCATATTTTAATATTTTGTATTATACTGCTTTAATTGATTCCGTATGTTATTCCAAATGCTGACCACTAAGATTATTTTATACTCATCTAGTAATCTACTTAAGGTTGTGAGATGTTGGGGAAAAAAGTTTATGTACAATAGTTTGAAAACAATGAAATAGAAAAAGTCTAAATAAAAGCAAATAAAGGAAAACTTTTAAAGGTAAATTCTACTAATTTATCATTTAACTAATTATATTTCTTCCTTTCCTTTACCCATCTCTTCTGCCAACCAAAGAGCAAACAGGAAATAAAATTTTAATCTAATATTCCTAACCTTACTCTTTTTTTTTTTTTAAGATTTTATTTTTCCTTTTTCTCCCAAAGCCTCCAGGTACATAGTTGTGTATTTTTAGTTGTGGGTCCTTCTAGTTGTGGCATGTGGGATGCCACCTCAGCATAGCTTGATGAGTGGTGCCATGTCCACGCCCAGGATCCAAACTGGCGAAACCCTGGGCCTCCGAAGTGGAGCGCGCGAACTTAACCACTCAGCCACGGGGCTGGCCCCCCTAACCTGGTTCTTATTCCTAACATAGTTTGTCATTCACTAGCTCAGGATATTGTTATTGAATAAAAGATATAAATTTATATACCGTTAACTATAATTTGGAAGATTTTGGTTACTCCATAATTTAGCAGCTCCTCCTGGGTTTAGCTATATTGTATATATGATCCCATGCAGCTTCTCGGCATTTTCAGTAGGTTGGACAGGACCAATGGTATCGTATTCTTCATCTGTGTAACGGGAAAGGAGAGCTGGAGTCCAGAGAGGTTAGACTGTAACTGTCTGTGTTATCAATACAGGGCTCAGCCATTGCTGGAATTCCATTTTTCTGATCTAAATCATTTGCTCCCTTTTTTTTTTCCTTTGGAGTATTTTCATCTCTGTAAATTTATGGCCCAGTTGACTTGGAGACAGAGAAAGGGAAGGGGAGTATCGAATAGTGATTGCCACCATAAGTCGGACATCAAGCAGGATGCCGTTTCGTACCTCGACTTGGTTGAGAACCACACGCCTCCAAACTCAGCATTTTGGCCTCGATTTTTCAGTTGAGGAAATGGAGATTCAGTGAGGCTAGTAACCACTCCAAGAGAGTGGAACCCAGGCCTGTCAGGCACTGAAATTCCTGTGGTTTGCTCCTTCTCCAGGAGCTCGGAGTCTGGTTAGGAAGGAGACAAAATTACGCACACAAATGGATATACCTGAAATTAAAGTACTATTGACTGTTGTGAGTTATGAAAATAGCAGTCACTAAGCTAAAGGGGTCCAGAGAAATAAGATTCCTTGCGGATGGGTGGTCAGCAGAACTGCTTCTTTATTGAAAAGATCAGTTATAAACTGAAGTTTAAAAGAAAAGAGGGGATTCCAGGAGGAAAAAAATAAAAAGAAAGAAAACATTCCAGGAAAAGATGATGGCGTAGAATGAGAAAGCCATGTAGGGGAGGGGAAATGGGGACGCAGGGAAATAGATGAGCAACAGGAAAAGCAGGTTCCAAGACCTTGCACATGTGCTGAATGAGCGTGGCTGTGGTGATATTAAGATAAACACTTTTTGAAGTTAAAGGAGGTATCAAGAACTTTGGACTGAGGTCCCATGGAGCTTCGCAGCAGAGGTATAATTTGTAGTGGGTGTAAAGATAGGTATGAGTTTTAAGGAAAATTCTTGAGTGAAGTGTCAAGATGGGAAGGCCTAGGACCTAACGTATATTCCCCTGTCGATGGCTGGAAGACAGCTTTTCTTTGAGAGAGACTTTGAGGTGGGTTTGCATGGTAGGCAGTAAGGAACCATTAAAAGTGTTTGATGGCACTGGCCCAGTGGCATAGCAGTTAAGTTCGCACACTCTGCTTTGGCACCCTGGGGTTCACTGGTTCAGATCCTGGGCACGGACCTAGCACCGCTTATCAAGCCATGCTGTGGCAGATGTCCCACATATAAAAAGTAGAGGAAGATGGGCACAGATGTTAGCTCAGGGCCAGTCTTCCTCAGCAAAAAGAGGAGGATTGGTGGCAGATGTTAGCTCAGAGCTAATCTTCCTCAAAAGAAAAAAAAGTGTTTTATTTCAAATGCTGCCGTCCTCAAGGTCATTGGTGACCTCTTCTTTGTAAATACAATGAATGAATTATAATAAAATAAATTTCCATCCCTTATCTTACATGATCTTTCTTGGCTTTTGACAATATGTTGACCTATTTCTCTGGGAAACTCTCTTGCCCTTGTTTTTGAAATACCCCCACTTTCCTGACTTCCCTTTCAACTTTACTCAATCCCCTTTGTGGCCTCCTTTCTTCACTCATCTCCTTGCCCCAGCATCACTGTAGTCTGGCCTTCTACCCTTCCACTCACCATCCTCCTCAGGTATGACCTGAGTGGTGGTGACACCCAGATACATGTCTCTGGCGTACACCTCTCTCCAAACTGCACACTGACCTGCCTTTGTACTCACATTTCTGCCGGGTGAGTAGACACCTGCTGTCAGCCTCATCCTCTGTGGCCTGTCTCTTGCCCAGATGCAGATCTGCTGAGGTCACTCCCTGTTGAAAACCCTTCCATGACTCTCCCTTGCAGTGGCACTAGAACTTCTCTGCCTCCCACTTCCCGATGTGACCCACCTGAGTTTCGCATTCCGAACCTGCCTGCACAGTGAGGGGGCCAAGGTCTTCTTCCCACCCACAGTTCTCTAAAATTAGGAACCTTTAAA